AGAAGTGAGGAGAAATGTCCTGACAGTTAGAACAATTAATCAGTGGAACAGCTTGCCTCCAGAAGTTGTGAATGCTCCAACACTGGAAGTTTTCAATGGGATGTTGGATGACCATTTGTCTGAAGTGGTGTAGGGTTTCCTGCCTGAGTAGAGGTTGGTCTAGAAGACCTCCAAGGTCCCTTCCAACTCTGTTATTTTATTCTATTCCTGGTTAAATGTTGAGAGTTCAGCAATGTAGGAAGAGAGAACAAGAGAACAGAACCCACACAGAAAGTTCTTTCTCTATTACTTAAAAATAGCACATGTAAGTTGTCAGCGGAATAAGAGACTTTCTGGAGAATCTCGAAACACATCAGCTTTTATAGGAGAAGACAATCTTAAAATAATGTGGCTTGAGGTGTTTTTTTTTTTAAATGGTGTGGTTTTACAGGTCATAATTAGCCTTTTGAATTGTGTCCAGAATTGGCTGGCAGCCAGGTTTCTAATGGGTGTCTTCTGTTAGCATTTCACATGCCAACTGAAAATCTTTCTATGTATCTGAGCAGTTGGTGGCATTTAACATGGCGGGCTATTTTTTTTTTAATGCTGATCTGCTATTTAATTGCCATGGTATGTTTTTATATTCCAGGATGGGTTTTTTTTTTTGCATTAAATGTCTTTCTTGCATTGTAGTAAGTAATTGTCATAGGGCCTCTTGAGGATCCTCTTGTTGAAATACAGGTTATAATTGTAATATGGTAATGAATTAAATCTGCTTGGAAAGGAATGTGAAATGAAGTACAGAATTATTAGCAGAGTACATTGAGACTTGATTAAGCCTGCATTTAAAAGGTCCATTTATTTATTGCAGTTTTATTGTACCCTTGTTCAAAAAAAAGAAAAAAAGACTCAGGGTAAAAACCCTAATTAGAGTGAATGACTGGCATAAGGTCTTTCCATGAACATAATCTCCAAATGGAGATATGAGCATGGATTTCTGTGATCTCATGCTTGAACCATTATATCACTTCGGTCTATGTGAATGCACCAACATGCTGAGCTGCATTTCAAATAAACGCTACTCCATTTTCATTCCTTACGTGTCTATTTACAGAGGATACAGCCATTAATCCTCCCCCTTAAGGACAAGCTGAGATTACCTAGATACCAAAAAATGGACGATACGGCTAGAAATTTGTTCGTATTTTTTTTTTGCACAAGAAAATAATATAGTCTGTGAGGCGGCTTTGGAGCCCTCCCGGCTTCAAAGTGGAAACCTTTATCTGACATTTAACTTCTATTGTGTGTCAGCTGTTTGCGTTTTCTGCTCCAAAGGTGTTCGCCCTGCAGGCAGGCTGCAATCTTTAAAGACTCATCCCGGGAGCATTGACCAAAGCAGCCACCCAATATTTTTATTGATTGTTGTGGCAGTTACGTATTGTTGAAGAACAATGTGAGGCATTTTTGCAAAAGTCCTTGCATTGGTGAAAGTGGATGAAAATTTCTTGAACTGAAGCCTGGAGTTGTCCAAGTTGTGGCGGCAATTAAAAAAAGCCCACCATTATATGACTCTGCTCTGTGTATGCTGAATAACATGTGATCTGACCTATTGATCATCACTGCAAGCAGCTGGTTTGCTTGCCCTCTGCAGTCAGCAGGCCTGTGTTGAGTACCTCTTTCAATATTAATGCCCAGTTATCTGACATATAAGAACTCCTCTCCATATGCAACTACCTATACGTTTTCATCAAATAATGAAATATGATTAGAACTTGTGAGCAATTTATATAGGAATAGAATAGAATAGTGTAGGAATTCTTTATTGGCCAAGTGTGATTGGACACACAAGGAATTTGTCTTTGGTGCATATGCTCTCAGTGTACGTAAGGAGAATAAAAATACATTAATCAAGAATCAAAAGATACAACACTTAGTGATAGTCATAGGGTACAAATAAGCAATCAGGAAACAATCAATATCAATCTAAATCTTAAAGATACGTGCAAAAAAGTTACAGTCCTGCAGTCATAAGTGGGAGGAGATGGGTGATAGAACGATGNAACTGCTAGGTTGGCAAAAGCTGGGACAAGTAACAGGAGCTCACTGTGCTACGCGGCGCTAGGGATTTGAACTGCCGAACTGCTGACCTTTCTGATCAGCAAGTTCAGCATCTTAGCCACTGAGCCACCGCATCCCTCTTACGGATTTGGGAGTGGGGGTTAGATATAGATTAGGGGGGATAATCATGTAAAACAAAATTAGTTTAGGGCGGGTTTACTTTGTCTATGTACGTATTGCATCTCGCTGGATGCCTTGAGGGAGAGGTGTATTTCACCACAATGATTCTATGTCACCTGGCATTTTCATTTTACTAATTGTAACTTGGTAGAGAAAAGAAGGAAATGAAATGTCCCTGGCTATTTCTCTTCCATACATGTAACATCTGGCAAGAAAAGGTATTAATTAAAGGATGATATTATTCCTAACATTTCTTTACACACTAGGGAATGGTTTCCTAGTACAAGGCTATCATTACTCTTTATAAATACTCTTGATTATAAATATAATTAGGATTCATTAACAAAACAAAACATTTTTGAATGCATGGTTTTCTGCTTTATTTCTACCAAATAAAATTTCAGTAGGAAAATAAGCTAAGAAATATATTCATTTCAATTATATAAATAGATGGCTGCCGTCCAGAGTTGTTTTTGGTAAGATGGATGGGCATATACGTTTGATTAACAAGTTTATTAATATAATTTATTTACTGTGCTAAATAAATTCACTAGAGTACAAACTTCTTATTTCTTTCAAGCTTCTTTTTGTATTTCTTCTGTTGGTCCCAGTGTACTGTGTCTTCAGGGTTCATCATTATGGAATATAGAAATGGCTATTATCACAATTGACAATCTGACAATTCAGACTGAGAAATAAAGAAGTATCTCCCATCTCCAGAAAACACTAAGGATTGCAAAAGTACCAAAGCAACAAATGTAGCAGCAACCCACTATACCCATGATGGCGAACCTATGGCACACGTGCCACAGGTGGCACACAGAGCCCTCTCTCTGGGCACACGAGCCGTTGCCCCACCTCGTATGCATACGTGCCTTCCATCGACCAGCTGATTTTCAGGTCTCTGCTGTGCATGCAGGAGACATGCGTGCATTGGGGGTTGCACATGCATGCACGGGGGTGGGCAGGGGGGGTAGTGAGCCCCTACAACCCATTTTTGGTCCCAGAAGGCTTCAGGAAAGCCTACTAGGCCCAAAATGGGGCACGAGGGGTTGCACACATGCGTGGGGAGTATTGCAGGTGGGTCGCACACATGCACAGGGGGCGGGGCACATTGCATTGTGAGTGTGGGCATGCACATGTGTGCTGTCGCGCGCACAATTTCAGCACACGAGGACAAAAAGGCTAGCCATCACTGCACTATACTTTTCTAAATGCATTTTAAAGGAAAAACTGGTAGTTAAAAATGCCTGATAAGATTTGAGGATTTCTACATGGAATGTAGAATGATAGTTGGAATAGTAACCTAAAAAGGGGGTGAGGAACACAGAATGGAATATCCTGTAGAAAGGCCTAGCTGGTTGATAGGTTTGACTTTTCCAGTTTGAAATGAGGCTGGAGTCTAGCATTTACAGACACATGATATCAAAGCCTCTTATAAAAGTACAAATGGATAGGTTTCTACCTCATGAACAATTAAGTTAATGTTTGATGTAGGAATTGCAGGGGACAGATATAGAGTCATGGGAAAACTATTGAGAGCTGTGCTGAGTTGCTTAAGATGAGCAGCCGCATAAATATTTTAAATAAATAATTAAATCAATTTAAAAAACTGAGTTGGGATTGGTTATACTGTATGGGATAGAGACCTAAGGAGTTCTGTAGTGCTTTAAGAAAAAAAGAAGACTTTGAAGAGGGATCTGAAGGGAATGCTCAGTTGGTTATACATTTAGGCCAGAACCGATCCATTCTTTATTACAACCATTGATCAGCGTGACAAGTCACATCAGATTTGCAATAAATATTGCAAGTGTGGAGTGCTGCTTTTTTTAGTGATGCTGCTTGGCAACAAATTTAAATGTACCTCAATTTTGTTGTTGGAGTGTAATTGAGAACCAGAGTTTCTCAGAGCAGAAATCTGTATAGCACACTTGATAGCTGTGTACTCTTGACTCAATGTATTAGTGATGCATTCCCCTGCACACATTATACAGGGCATAGCTTTCTGAGATCATTCACTGCGGTTTCTTAGGGCAAAGTGTCCACCCTGTGGCCAACAGCATATACTAGAAGACGGATGAGATAATCGCAGAACGTAGCTAGAATTTACACTATATGAATGGGTGAGGTCAAGATGCAGCATTCTGATTTTTATCTGCCCCTAGCATTGTGAAAAATGCTATTACAATTAATACACATTTCCAATAGTTCCAATAATTCAACAGCTTAGCAGTTTCTCATATCATATTACCGAAATGTTGAATTGTCATATTATTATTCTCATCTTGGTTAAAGCTAGATAAATTGAAATCTTGGAGTTTTGTCTTTGCAATCTTTCTTTAGAATATGTCTCTACTAGTTTTGAATTTTAAAATCATGGTTTTTCTGGGAGGTTCACAAAATTCCCAATAGGAACAATGAAATCATACCCCTACAGGAACTTGGAATAAAATATCTATACAGGTACAAGAAAACCCCAATGTGCATCAGCACCTGAGACTTTGGGGACTGAATATAATATCTACGGTGCAAAGGAGGGTTCCTTGGAAAAGAAACCCGTTCCATAACTTTTCAGGGGTCTTCTGTATTCTAGGAGTTATAGTACATGTATATCATACAACACAAGCAAGGTTGTGCAGGCAGACCAATATACAACTTTTCAGAATTCTGGAATCTGAACATTATTATCCTACTTTGTATTCAACATATTTATTCATCGGTTGTTACATTGCTATTAAGATTTGAACTGTTTTTGATACTGTTCTATCTTTGTCTTCAATTAGAGACCAGATTTGGTTTTTAAGCCATTTGCAGACAGCATTGTCATGTTGCGTGATGAGAAGTGGGAAAAGGTCCGGAGCATATTGACCCCAGCCTTCAATATTGCAAAGATAACGGAGGTAAGATTGCAGGCAGCTGTCACAATCACACATACAAAAACCTTTTCTTTTTCTTTCTGCTTCATGTTTCTCTAATGTGCACTATTACATAAAAAGTGAACCACTCATCCACTGCAACACAGTTAATGCTTTTCTGATTGCCCTTTGCAGAGTCACTGCTCCTTTAAGGAGAAGGGTTTCTGGGGTGTTTAATGAGAAAATAAAGAATGAGTTTTGTTTCAAATAATTTATATGCAGTTCCTGTATGTTTTTCTATCAGATTTGAACTCCAAAGCCCTGTGTTTGATATATATCCCTCCTAGCAATCTACATACCACTTTGGAGTCCCCCCAAAAGTTGGAAGGTACCTATAAACACAGGAAGAACAATTTCCATATAATAATTCACTATATATTTGGCAGAAATTTTTGGTTAGCGTTCCTTTGCAGAATCTCAACTAGAACAACTTTCATGTAGGAAACACCATAAAAACAATCCTTTCTAAGACACTTGCTATTCAGTGGGTTCAGAAGAACAGGGCAACACAACATCCATTGCATTTAGGGCATGCACAAAAGACACCGACCCCATTATTGGCAAAACTGTAGCAGCTGAATTTTTGAGGTGACCAGTAGTTGCATTTTTTTAATTTTTTTGTGCACAAAACTGCATAAGTTCAAATTGTTATTTGCTGTGGATTTAAGCTTTTTTTTAAAAAAAACTATTACACAAAATAATCACTCCTTTGCTATCTAACAATCTCTTGGGGAAAGCAGGGATTCAAAATGTTCCTTTCCTTCCATGTTCTCGATGTGATGTGATGTGTCTCATGTTTCACAAGCTTGTCTTATCCAAGAGCTTGATCTAATTGGTTTCATAATACCTTAGGCCATTTTCTTATAGTGACTAAAAGTGTTTTCATAACATTATCTAAGCATCAGTGCAGCAAAGAAAAGCCTTTCCTTATTACTGTTACTTTGGCACAGGGATATCGAATAATGCCAAATGATGTTGTAAGTCACCACTGTGGAAATAACCAGTTTCACAGTGCCAATGGGAAATTTCCTGACTTGGTTTTCCCCCTGCTTATATAAGCATATATTTTCTTCAAGAGCTTCCCAGCGGGCTGACTTTATTAATCTTTGCAGCAAAATAAGGAATTTTGTGGCACATTAAAAATTAATAAATCACATGAGATTACATGAATGACTTTAAAATTGTTGTGGCAGTTTAAAGAAGAATCAATTTATTAGTGCATGAGCTTGCAGGGATTGTAGTGCACGTGGCCCTTGATAGTGAAAGTTTATGCAAAAATGCATTTGTTGGCCTTTGAAGCTACCACAAGACATTTTGTATTTTGTTTCCTTAGAGTGCCCCCAAAAGTAAACAACTTTTAAACACTTCTTTTTTAGTACATAAAAATTGAGATTTCCTCAAAGATGTTTCATTAAAAAATGCATTTAAAAAAAAAACTTTTGATAACAGAGCCTTAGGGCAGAGATTTCAAACTCAAGATCTGGGGGACGGATCTAGCCTGCAGGGTGCTTAGAACTGGCCCATGGGGCTACCCTGGGGACAGTGAAGGACTGGCCCATAGTGCCTCTGCCAGCAGAAATAGAGCTCTCCTGAGCTCTGTCTTCGCTGGCAGAGGGTTGCAAGAGGCAGTGACAGCAGAAAATGGAGTTTGTGAACCCATTTTCACCGGCAGAGCACTCTGGCCACGACAGGTGCCCCTGACACTGGTGATGTTGAGCTGGCCACGGCCACCCCACCCACGGCCACCCCAGCCTCCCAAGGTCAAACACAATCGTGATGCGGCCCTCAATGAAATCGGGTTTGACATCCCTGCCTTAGGGTAAATAGTTGGAATCTATGTTGTGTGTTTTGCAAATGAAGAGAATTCATCTCATGATTGCTTGAATTAGAACAGGGATGGCTGTGTGTCAGTATTTGGTGGCCACAAACTATGTTACTTGGACCACATCAATTATGTGAGTTGGCCTTTGTTGTGGTAAGGGTGTTCTTTACTTTTTAACTAATCTCTGTTTTAAGCTAAATCTCAGATTGCATATTGGATACATTTCTACCCTTCATAAAATCAACTCAGATAGCGAACAGGAGACTTTTCGTAGACAGTTTAGGAAAATTGCCTTGTTATAGACAAGAAAACCATATATGCAAAAGACATAAATCAGACTGCCTAGCATATCTCTTCCTCTCTCTTCCCTCCCTCCCATCCCCAAGTTTTAAATCCCAGAACTTTTCCTGCTGTCTTTTGAAGATGTTTTTCCTCAGTGTTTGCACAACCATTCTGGCTGGCCCAAACACAGCTTCTTACTGCTTTGTCAACATCAGTCCCTACAATATTATATTTCTTCATCTGTTTCCCAACACAAATAGTGGAAAATAGTGCTGTCACTTTTCAGCATCCAATGCCAGAGGAGGCTTCAAGGTCTGCCAAAAGAGGATTGGCTGCAGGTTAGCCACCCTTAAATTAAAGCTTGTGCTGATAGATCTCATTTAGTTATCACAGTTTAACTTGGTTGTTAAACAAAATTGATGTTTAGAGAAATCGCAACTGTGCTTATGATCTTACTTTGGCTTTCTAAATGAGGACTGCCTGAAGCTATTTCTCTAATTCCCTTCATTTGTATGTTTGTTTATTGTTTTCATAGAACTTGTTGCAATATATGCAGACATATTTCTAAGAATAACTCTCTGACCCCACACATATAAATCAATATTTACAAACAAATAACATGAGATTTTTTTTTCTAGTACATGGCTATTTTTAATCTAATTCCCCACAAAAATGTTGATTTTTTTTACTTTGCCAATTCCGTAGCATTATTGGGCTCTTCCATGAAAGCAATAGGTCTTGAGTTCCAGCTCAGATTAACACAAGAAATTGAAATGGAATATAACAATATGATCCCTTTAACCTAATACCTATTTTACTCAAAATAGGGTTTTGAAAATTTGGATCCCATTTTCTACTAAGAGTGGGATTTGCCTAGATGATTGCTAAGGAATTGTAATTAATCTTTCATTAGTAATTTGGCCTTAACCATGGCCTGCCTTAGAAAAAGAACTCTTGCTGTCTTTTAAACAGATCATTCTGAAATTAATTTCTCTAGATTATAATGCACGTATAGAGAGGGAATCTGAAAGTGTTTGGGGGTGTTAATTTCTCACTAGTCTAATAGCTGATTTCTCTATATCCACTCATCAAGCACCTGGAGTCTTAATTTATGGTGGGAAAAACTTCCAGTTCATTAATATGTTCTCTCAATTGCAAATGAGGATGGCATCTCCATTGCTGAAAATTCATCTCCAAAGGGTATAAGGAGGAGATCATTTTTCCCCCTCACAGTTATATTCTTGAAAAGGAAATATGTTTCTCACTCCATTGCCTGTTCTTCGGTTAGGAAATAAAATTGCTGGACAGAAGCCTATGTTATTTTGACATGCTGCTGTCGAACTCTACAGTAGCATCTAAATGTGTCTGGCTTCTTTAGTTCTATAGACAGCTGTTGCTTAGCAACACCAGCTGTCACCCCCTTATTATGGCAAATTCTAATTGGCCATAAGCCTGCCAAGGACCCCTGATTAATCAGAACTGACAATATCATTGGTAATGCACCTAGACAACTAGCTTACTCCCTGGTTTGATAGTGAATTTGACAGGATTTAAAGTAAGGGAAGCAATAAATGCAAATGTGCTCTCTATAATTTGGAGGGAGAGAGGCTAAAGAAGAGAGTTTTGTATTGCCTTGACAGAAATTAATCCCTCTTACTATGGGTCATTGGCACAAGACAAATCTTTGCCTCAGTTCCTTCCCCTCCTTAAACCTAACAAAAGATAAAACCCCTGGTATGCGCAGAGCCAGACCCTGCTGGCAGGAGCCAGACACACTTTAGAAGGACAAATAGTTCCTGGATATTGTGCTTTGCAGGGATAGATGTCTCTGCTTACAGAGTTAATTATTTAAGTCAAGAGCAAAATTCACACTGTTGCATTTTAAGCAGCACGATGTTAAAGAAAGCAGGAAATGTCCAGAGAGGAAAAAGAGCAGGAGTCTCAGAGAGGAAAATTACAAACAATTGCACTTTAAAACAACAACAAGAAGAAGAGAATATTTGCATTCATGCTTCATAGCAAGTCATCTTAACCAGAAATAAGCCACAATTGAGTAGATTCATACAATATAAATCACAGGTTACAAAATCTTAAAGATTGGCAAGTATGTTTTACTCAGCTTACACAACACCAGCAGAAAAAGCAATGAGAAGAAAACTGTAACATTTGCATGAACTGCAAAAATAAAGAGAAATAAGCGAGGCCAACACCACCAAATAGTCCACTGGGAATTAAAAGCATGCAAAGAAGAGGAAATTGTTTAGCACCATGTAGCAGTGATGGACAGAATCTTTTTAATTGTTGCATTGCCCTAACCACAAAAAATTTACCGAAGTGACCAGATTTGGCAAAAGTCACAACACATTTTAAACATGAAATACTGGATTTACAGATTATTCTAATGTCTCAAAATGAATCCATGTGGTTTACATTCAGCATAAAAACAATAAGAGATCTTTCTATGAATGTACATATACACAGATATATTTGTACCTGTCCGTGCATATGCAGATACAGACATACATAAATATTAGTTTTATTGTTTAAACTAACTGCAATTGCACAAAAATTAATGGATCAGGGAAGAAGAAAGAGAGTTTGTGGTGATGGGATGCTCACAGAACTGCATAGCTTGGTTGTGTTTTTTGCCTTCAGAAGTTGTGGGAGCTTCATCATTGGAGGCTTTCTCAGAAGAGACTGGACTGCCCTTTGTCAGAAATGGTGTAGGGTCCCCTNGCATAGCTTGCTTGTGTTTTTTGCCTTCAGAAGTTGTGGGAGCTTCATCACTGGAGGCTTTCAAGAAGAGACTGGACTGCTCTTTGTCAGAAATCGTGTAGGGTCTCCTGCTTGGGCGGGGGGTTGGATTAGATAACCTGCAAGGTCCCTTCCAACTCTGTTAATCTGTTAAATCTGTTAAAACAAAGTTTCTTTTGTGTCTATACCAAGCTGGAATGGTAAACATTTGCACAACCAATGTATTACGATATGAAAGGGTTAAATGCAAAAGGGGAAAAAATGCATGTAGTCTAAGCTGCAGGAAAGAAGAATCTTTCCCCAAAATGTATCAGTATCTGTTTCCAGTTTGGCTAAAATATTATTGGTCAATGGCTTGGTCAGCAGGATCTACTTGAATCTGCTTCTGGTTTCTAATTCTTCCCGTTTAAGTTGTTTTAAGAAAGGATATGGGCTTTTTTTTTTTAAGGGCAAAGGGTTACTAAACGAAAAGACACCAGATAGGGGGGTATTGGAAGGAGAGGGAAAAATACCATCCTCGCACAAACTGCATTACAAAAACAATGATTAATGAACAGAAGCAGAAGTTTAAAGGTCATAATTCTAGAATGGCTTTCCTGCTGGCAGGAACAAAGATTGTCAAAGAAGCTGATAGAGCTTGATAGGATCTTTAGGCTCCTTCCTTTGTTTACCGAAAAGATTCAATGGAAGGGATGTTTGTACAATTTTGGTCACGTAAGTGGTTTGGAAGGTCATGCCTGGGTCACATTAATATCATTTTATTCTCTAATGCTACTAGAAATTGCTGAGCAAAGAAGGTCATAGAGGGCATTCTGCTTTTCTGCTAGACTAGCGTCAATGTGCAAGCCATCCAGAACCTGTCTGCTGGCCTCCTTTTAGGGCATAATTGGTGCCAGTTTTTCTGTACAAGTGCTGCTTGCGGTCAACAGAACTTTTGGTCTCATTTCTAGACCAAAATAGTTTGGCTGCACAAATCTTGAGTCAAATTGGGGTGGACGGAATTCAGGTAGAAGGTGTAGATCAGCAACAACAAAACTAAGCAGTGTGTAAGCCCTCTTGGTGTCATGGTGTCTCTTTGTCTTTACACTCATTTTTAAACCAGTCAACAAAAAAAAAACCTCAAAATCTCTCTGATACGAAGAAAGCTGTTCAAGCATAATTACTTAAGAAGCTGCAGGCCTTTCTGTTAAGGCACCTCTATAGATAGCAACTTTACTTGTTCACAGCAACATCCCTGCTTCCAGCTCTTAGGCTCCTTCCTTTGTAACACCATGTAAAATTTGGGTATCATTTTGTCATAAAAAGAATCCAATGCTTCTTTTGGCCAAGAATACCTGTCACAATTGTCAAGATAGAGCGGATTGTCGGGGCATTTCAGTAAGGGAGAAAGCATTTTAAAACATGAAATCTCATTTGTATAAATGTTAATACTTCACTTTCTTCCTTGAGAATATAACTTCCTCCATTGATGAGAAGCTCTTGAGCAAGCTCTGCTTGCTCCCGCAATATATAATTAATGTAGAAAAATACATTATGTTTTAAAATTGGACCATATACCTGTGCTTCTTTATAGATGACTCCGCTAATTGATGAGGCATGCAATATCCTGCTGAATAACTTAAAGGTCTCTGCAGAATCTGGCACTGCTTTTGACATTCAAAGGTACTACAGGAAAATTTTATCATCTTTGACTTGCCAAATTATCCTATAGATGGAATTGTTTTACAAATGTTTTAATTTCCCCCCTCCTTTTTCCGTTGTCACTTTCAAAGGTAGACAGGCAGACATATTTCTCCTGTTGATTTGGTAATAGAGATTTATTGAAAAACAGTAATTGTAACTGAAACGATTGGTACTTGTGTATCCAAATCAAGGCTGTCTATAAATGAAATTTTAAAAATTAGAAAGGAAATAAACCCAAACTCTTAACTACATAAGCATGTCTTGGTAACCTGTAGGATAGTGCCCAGAATCACTTCAATAGTCAGATGGGTGGCATATAAATTTAATAATAAAAAATAAACCTAGATTATATAAACTCTCATCTCTGCTAGCACATTTACAAGTATGAGCACTAAAATACCTGTTTCAGAGGTGGTACTCAGCCGGTTCGGACCGGTTCACCTAAACCGGTAGTGGAAATTGTNTACACATTTTTGTTAGCAATGTTACTAAATGCACAGTTTTTGCAAATTTTCACATTGAAAATATTTTGTATGTGTATTCTTATCCTGAATGTATGCATTTATATAGTGTGTGTGTTTGTGTTTGTGTGTGTGTATTGGATAAATTGCAACAGAAAAAGTGTGCATGATAAACTACATTTCAGTTTTGTATATTTTGAAAGTCGGAAAATATTTAAATGTGAACTAAAATAATGGATATACCTTAAAAGCAAAAACAAACAAACAAACAAACATTTTAATGTGACACAAAATGAAACTGTCAGATTTGATGTGCCATTTTGTTGTTGGAAAGTTATTCCTCTTCTCTGTTACATTTAAAATTATTGATTTAGGATGTTTTCTGTAGGCTAGCAAACAACTACCCTAATGTTTCAGGATTTAAATATGAAGCAAAAAATCTCTTTTGTGGAATATATACAGACACACATGCGTCCGCGCGCACGCGCGCACACACACACACACTTAAAGAGTTATTTGTACAAACAGAATTCTACAGTTTGTTTATACACACACACACACACACATACTGTATATATATATTGCTGTAGAATTCTGTTTGCCTGTACATATAACTCTTTAACTACATATAATTGTGACATCAGTCATCAGCAAACCCATGAAAAAAGCAAAAATAGGTGAGGGAAAATTAGACTGTTGAGAACTGCAATTGATTCTGGGTGGATATGGAAAATTCCTGTTCGTTTAAAACAGTTTTTCTCAAACTTGGCGACTTCAACTCCCAGAATTCTCCAAACAGCCATGTGGTGATACAACAGCATGTAGTGATGAAATGAACAGAAATCTCCCATTAAAGCTGCCATGTCTTTTGCAGGAAAGTTGGCATATGAGAATTCTGTAATAATTCTGTAATAAAACTAAGCATTAGCAGTAGCTGTTCTTAAATCTTAAGATGGCTGAAATGCTTAATGACATTCCATTTCATTTTTATGGAAGTATGTTAAGAATGGATGATTGATTATATTGTACCAAACTACAGGAAGGCTTGATTTAGTGCTACGGGATAGGCTAGAAGAATGGAATATCCTATGTTTAAGAATCTCTTGTCAGGTTTGATAAATAACTTTGTTCCTCTGTTCAGCTGACATCATCCGAAATATATTGATTTTTTATTTTTCCTGACTCTACTTTTGTCATTATCAATGTGTGGTTTAATGCATAGTTTAACCCACACACTCTATGGAAAATTGATTAAACAAAGGTGCAGAATCCTAAGTAATTGGAGTATATAGTTGATGAAGTTCTTCCTTGTTTATTTTACAGAGTTAAATTAGTAATAACTTGATTAATAGGATAAAATCATTTGCAAAAAAAAACCCCTACATATTTATTTCTCTGCATGCCATCGTATTGCCTCACTTGAATTTCTGGAACTGTAAAATTGTTAGCACATTGTAATGTTTAATGTGACAGAGAAGAAAAGTATTAAACAATTGAACACTTATACAAGATTAAATATTAGACTGAAGTTTTACATTCAAAGTTATTTCGAAGAGCATTTGAATTGTGATTCTTACCATCTATTTATTTATATTACTTGGTGGTGTTACTTTTTGATTTTATGTTGCTTGCTATATGTTTCATTATATCTCTATTTTTATTTTGTTTACTATAGGTATTTTGATAGAATTTATTGGAAGATGTTTAAAAGAACAAAGCTACCATATTCATTTTTTTAAATCAGCTTGCTACAGATGTAGGCAAAACCAGGCAAAATAGTGGGGGAGGGCAGGAAAAAAAATAACCCTTTAATTTATGTTTATAAATAACAACAATCATCCTTCATACATTTAGCTATTTTCCTTTTGCATCACCATAAAAACACAATATGATGATAATCATCTGGCTTTGTTGACATATCTGAACTTTTCAAGGATTACATATGGCTTTAGCAATTCAGATTATGTACCTCTATTCTCAAATTACAATACTGACTTTTTAGAAGGCTCTTTAACTTGCTAAACTTGCATCAATAAAATTTATGATATAGCTTAAGTCACTCCTTTTGCCTGACTTAAAAAGCGATATTGCTTTCATTTTATACATACATAATACAATCGTAGCCCTAACATATATAGCTAGGTACCCTGAAGTGGTTTTCCAATCTCGTCACAATTTAACAGTAATTTAAATAAAATCTTGCTGGAAATATAACATCTAGGCACAATTTAAAAGCTATGAAATCTGATGAGAATAACCCAGGGTCATAATTATAGGAAGCTGGAAACAAAAACTCTATAAAGGCACATATAACATATAAAATTCCAGGACGTGATTTTTGACATCTGGAGATTCTTTAATTTTTGTTTAATGAGCCTATGTGAACCTCAGTGCCAAATAAGCAGTGAATATATCTAAAACCCTGAGATTTTTCTACCCTAGCCAGGTTACCATTACCTAGCAAAATCTAAAACAGGAAACACAAATTATACAAATAGATTTTGAGAAACCATTTTTGGATCATCTTCACCAGCTCAAGGTTGACTCAGCTTTCCATTCTTCCATAGTCAACAAAATGAGGGCCCAGATTGTTGGGGCCAATATGCTGACTCTATAAACTGCTTAGAGAGAGCTATAAAACATTGTGAAGCAGTATATAAGTCTAAGTACTATTGCTGATGTTTGGATAAATTAAATAGCAAGAATATTCTGTAAAGTTTGATATCTCAACGTATTTTAGTGCTTTTAAAAAAAAATCAAACTATTGTCTCCCATCTTGCTAACCAGTTTGGCTATAATAGTTGCTAGGACATCTTTGCCANATACCTGGAGCCAAGATTTTTTTCAAAAATATATTTGAATTGATCTAGAGATCTAGTGTTGTTATTTATCTGAACCTACAACTAGTAATAAAGAACAAACCAGAAGCAAAGGGACAACAGGAGGCAGTTCAATTTCCACTAGCATTCCATTTTATTTTTTCTATGTAAAGCTTGAGGTTCAGAGGAAAAAATGTGCTGCATTTTAAAATTTAGCATGATAAAATGCTACAGTTGTATTCCAACCAAAGAATATATGAGGATTGTAGGCTTTTATCCTTTTAATGACCACATTCTGTTGTTATTCAACGTTGCCCACATTATGTTTTATGCTGCAGTCTCTTTCTTGCTGGCTGTCTTCGTAGGTCTGGCCTGACACTTTCACTATTTTCAAATCTGCATTTCGGATCATCGCTCCATCTGTGTGATGATTTTGATGTAGGCAAAATGCAGCAAACTCTTTAATGAGCACCTGGCCTCATGTAAAATGTATATTTTCCAGTTATTTATGTAAAAAATGAATGTGCCCCCCCCCTCCAAAAACAAACCCTGTGGATGGGGTCTCTAGACACTCTCCAAAATTTTATATTTACAGTACAGGTCAACAATGATAATTTTACTAGGTCCTTTGCAAACATAGATTTTTATTTATTTTTAAGGAGTTCTGAACTTAATAGCATTAAAAAAATAGCTTCATCTTCTTCTTACCCTGCCTTTCATAAAGCTAGGTGCATGCTGTTACTAGGAAATACACAAAACATGCTTCTGGAATTTTACTTCATTTGCTGTTTGTTGAAAACAAGTACTGGCAGAAATCAAGCATGTAAAATTTCAACTTGAAGGGTTAAATTTCAACATCATGGGGGAACCTAAAATAGTGGGTTATATCAAAAAGTTGAACAACCTTGCTAAGTTTATGAAAGAGGTCCCACTGTTTATTTATTTAATTTGTGTACTGTTCTTCACAAAATATTACAGAGCAAAATAAAGATAGAAAACTCAAGGAACTATAAAATCCCATTTGTTCCAATCCAGTGAACACATCAACAGGTTTAAAGATGTATTTTGTGTAATCAACAAAACTGACTTCTGTGACACAGTTGATCCAGGTCTATATATCTACTCCTTCACGGAAATGTGATTCTATCCAGGACAAATAGACCTTTCATTCAGTAACACCTGTGGGGTTTTTTTCCGCTCCCCAGTATTCTCCATCTCTGCCCAGCTCCAGTTCCTGTTAGTCTCTCGAACAATGTAATGAAGAGGCAGGATTGATGATACCTCATTAAAAACTTTTGAATAATCTTCCTTAGCAGCCTGATATTTAGCAACATATTTAATTCCCCTCACTTTCTCATTTTTTATGTATCAAGCTCACTTTTTTTTTATGGCTGAGGCTAGCTTAGAATTCAGAGTCTTTGGGTTTCCAGCACGTGAATCACACCAAGTTAGCTCTCTGGTTAATTGAACTTGAGAATATATTTTTTTAGAGTTTGCACTGAAATTAGCATGTATTTTAACACACATTTTTCCAAACATACACATTTTTGTTAGCAATGTTACTAAATGCACAGTTTTTGCAAATTTTCACATTGAAAATATTTTGTATGTGTATTCTTATCCTGAATGTATGCATTTATATAGTGTGTGTGTTTGTGTTTGTGTGTGTGTATTGGATAAATTGCAACAGAAAAAGTGTGCATGATAAACTACATTTCAGTTTTGTATATTTTGAAAGTCGGAAAATATTTAAATGTGAACTAAAATAATGGATATACCTTAAAAGCAAAAACAAACAAACAAACAAACATTTTAATGTGACACAAAATGAAACTGTCAGATTTGATGTGCCATTTTGTTGTTGGAAAGTTATTCCTCTTCTCTGTTACATTTAAAATTATTGATTTAGGATGTTTTCTGTAGGCTAGCAAACAACTACCCTANGCAGTAGGCGGTCTCTCAAGTACCCAGATCCACTACCAACTTCTGAACTGATTCCCCCACCTACCCACCCTGGATTTGTCCTTATAGAGCTCTATCCCAATCTTTAAGAATATTTTAATTAGCAGTACTGAGTGGATGTAGCCAATATAAAATCATCAAAAAGAAAAGGGTATACCATCAAATACTGTAACTGAGACAAGTAGCATTATGCCACAACTTTAAATATTTGAAATAAAGATAAAAGAAAATAACTCTTTAACAATGCTACTTTATATTTTATTTAACAAATGGCAGTGAAAATGAACAGTGAATATCTACTATGTTGTTTTTTTGCAAGTGGTAATATTGGTGTCTTTGTTGCTCTAACTTCCGTCTTGAATGTCCCAGTTTCAGTGTGGCTAAAATATAATAACGTCTTATTAATATTTTCATGGGAATATGCCTCCCATGGTGACTTACTTCCGAGTAAAAACGAATGGTATTGAACTACAAGCTTCCTTTCTGTGTATAAGGAAGCAGTTTTATATATTTTTAAATTTTTATTTACTTTTATTTTGAATCCAACTATATTACAATAGCCACTGTTTAAAACAGAAATTCATTGTTCTTCGCTTTAAAGTACTGGCTGCTTACATAAGAAACAGTGATTAAGCTTTTAAATTTATGCAGTGAACATAAGTAAGATATGAATAATAACACTAGCAAGATAGTTGCTATAAAGGACAAATATTTTAGGGCAAATTTCTCATATGAAAAGTCTCCACTGTCCTTCTGCTTCATGGTTCATTAATTAAATGGTACATTTACACAAAACCTTGCTACAGCCATAAGGCAGACCTAATTGTTTCAGGACTCTGTAAATATTGTTTGTGAAGAATATGCAGATATTGGTGATTGAGGCAGACTGGATTTCAGAGCAAGACAGGTTAATGGGTATGAATTCGTAACCTCCCAATCATGTTTTATAGCCATCATACATCTCAACTTCTAGGAAATTTTTTTAAAGTCTTTCTTGTCATGCATTAAATGTGTTTCAGCATCTAATGCAGCAAAATTGTTTTGGACAATGTTATCAATTGGAACAACCTTTAATTATTATTTCTTTACTGAAATTATCTTACCTTTTTTTTAGAAGATAAGCTAGATCATTAAAAAAGTTAAAAAGGAAGAAGAGTAGATTGCTCAATTTAGAAGAAAGAATAGTCTGATGTTAAGAGTTGGGATTAATTGCATTAATTGATAATTGAACAACTGCTAATGTTGCTCTTTCAAAATTCTATTAAAGTTGCATTTCCATATATAATGATCCCTCTACTTCGCATTTTGCCAAATAAGAAACGAGATGAAGTGAATGGATTTTTTATCAGTCTCATCAAGAATATGATTACCTTGCGAGACCAGCAGGATCCAAATGAGGTAAGGCATTTTACGTGTTACTGGATCAGACTAAAGAACTATTTAATTTCATTCTATATCGCTAACAATTTAATTATATTAGAGATACAATTCAAAAATTCAAAAATGAATTGATTTCATTTGGCCTTGTCTTAACATTGCTATATTTGAGTAGAAATTTATAGGACTGTAAGACTGATTCTACAGTAGACATACTGCTGTTGAGGATACATATGTGAATTAAACAATTAGCGGAAGTTGTAAGTTTAAACAATGTTATGCTTATTAACATTAACATTTCAGAAATCTTAGTAAATATTGATGTAAACTTTTTTCCCTTTAACTTTAAAGATTTAAGTTATCTAAACATTAAGAATTTTATTAAACTCCATTCAACACTGCATAAAAAACTACCATAGCTAAATAATATAATGCACTGCTTATGTTCTATACTAACATCATAAAACAGCATTAAAAGAAAAAATCTATACATTCTCCAAAGTTATATCCTTAACATAAGGAATCTATCAGAAACTTAAGGTGAACAGTATAATTGTGAGAAGTATTGTACAACATTGGATGAGCAAATCTATGCTGGCATTACAGAAAAAGGTGATCCACACATTTTGTCTTCATGTTTGTTTCCTTGACAGATGGCCAAAGAAAAGGATTTTAAAGCATTTTGTTCTTTAAAGTGTATATACTTTAGGGCAATTTTTAGTTGTATTTGTTTTTCTGTAAGTATTTTATATTATGTTTGCAACAGTTATTTTGCTAACTCACATGAAACGGTCCTATGTTATGTAACTTAAGAAGAGCCAAGGTGGCGCAGTGGTTAGAGTGCTGTACTGCAGCCACTTCAGCTGACTGTTATCTGCAGTTCAGCGGTTCTAATCTCACAGGCTCAAGGTTGACTCAGCCTTCCATCCTTCCGAGGTGGGTGAAATGAGGACCCGGATTGTTGATGGGGGCAATATGCTGACTCTGTAAACCGCTTAGAGAGGGCTGAAAGCCCTATGGAGCGGTATATAAGTCTAACTGCTATTGCTATAACTTGTATTGAAATTAAAACACAAGCTTTTTTGTTGGTTAAACAATGTACATTAATATTGTTTGTTTCTTAACAATGTTGGCTACTACTGGAAAACCCATTAATTCAATAATCCTTTTCTGTTACTTTCTTTCTCTCTTCTTCTGGCATTTGAAATTATTCTGCCTCTGCTGATGATAGGAATGATAACTAAACTGGCGTAGGACACTGTTCAAAAATGCTATAGCTGCTCAATTTAAAATGCTAAATAGTTCAGTTGATTGCTTTAACCTTGACTTCTAGATGTTTTTTGCTCTTCTTGATGTTCATTGCAAAAGAACGAATGAAAAGACTACAAGAATGTTTTTCTGGTGGTTAAAGGTTCTCATTAACACTAGAATGAAAATTGCATTTCAAAGTTAATGGTAATAATTTCCAAAACTAGTACTTCATCCATTTAAAACCTGTTTTTCCACAAAGCATTTATGCTCTCTGTCTCTCCATCTCTGTATATTCCATTATTCAAGATACTTATTTTATATTTATTGCTTTCATTCTTGATCATATATTTGGTCCTTGAATATTGATAATAGAAATTTAATTAATAAATAAATATTCAAGGATCAAATATGTGGTCACGAATGAAAGCAATATTTTTACAAATAACTTATTACAAATAATAAGGCGGCAAACATATCTAACACATTTTCTTCCTCTTGTTTGCCCCACGACAACAATCCTGTGTTGTGAGTTGGGCTGAGAAACAGTGATTGGCCTAAGATCACCCATCTGACTTTCCTGGCTAAGGCAGGACTAGAACTCACAACATCTTGCTTTTTAGATGGGTGCCTTAATCTCTAGACCAAACTGGCTCTGGTATTGAAGCCCAGTTGTGCTATGTTGTTATTGGGGACTGTTGTTTTAGGACATTGGGTGCTGGTTTTTTAGATCTTTTTTCTTGCATAGTTTTATTGTTGCTGTAAACTGCTCAGAGCTATGTTGTAGAAGCTGGGAGACCATGTTCATTTTCTTTAAAAAATAAATCATAATAGAGGCCTTTCCTACTTCCTCCTAGTTCCAAGTCAAAACTCTGCAGAAGGTGCTAGGTACAATTTTGGCCTCTTGTGATAGGGCTACAACATCTGGAAAAACAGCTGCCCATCAGTGGTGACAACAGGTTTAGAAATCTGACCAGTATAATTTTTGCAGCCATTTGTAATATTGTTCAGAGTGACTAAGAAAGGGCTGTCAAACAGTGTTGGGTTTTTGTTCATATTCTGGAGGGAGCAGCTAAAAGGCCGAGCAGGTCACCTCAAACAGCTGGTTTGCATTATCATGAAAAGACAGAAAACTCTTACTTTTAAAATTTGCTGTGTCAATTATTCAGTCAGGGAGGAGAGGATGTGCTTGTTGAATTTGTGTTTCAGATGCCAAAATAAATTGGCTTACATTAGATGTTCGGCATCTTGACTAGAGGGAAGAAAGTGGGAGATTATTAACAGTAAATCGTCCCACACCCGTTTCTGAGCCTGGTAGTAGAGCAGACAATTTGTTCCAGGCGAAGGTGTACATTTGCAGCATTATCACAGCCTAGATGAGGGTGCAGGGATGTTCTTAATCCAGGACACTAAGTGGGTTAGGTTTTTTTTAAAAAAATAATGTACTTTATTGTTTTTTTTAAAAAAAATACAGTTTAATTACACCTTCTACCCAATATTCTAGTAGTACTGGCACTACTGAAAATGGATCTTTCATAAATTGTTTCATGTGGACCTGTGTTAGATTAAAAGGGCATATTTCAGAAGGTTTAAATAAGCCAACACATTGCAGAAATCAAACCTGAATGTAGTCACTTCTCACATTAACCTATTGAGGCAAAGTTGCTTGTGTCCTCTTTGTTTCAGGAATATATGTCACTCCCCCCTCAGCAATCTATACTGCACTCCCAGCAATATATTTGTCCCCCCCCCTTTTCAAATTTCTTCAAAAGAGAAAAGAAGAAGGCAACAAGAATATTATGGCTGTGCAGATTTCTTAAAATCTGCTCCCGAGAAAAGTAGCTAGTTCCTTTCTGTTTCTGTGAAAGCTGAGGTAATGAAAGCAGAATTGCAAGAAGCTGGTTTTTGTTCTTTTTTTGAAAAGCTGTATCTACAGAACAGGTACATTCTAAGGGGAAAGGAAGAAGAACTAGATAAATAATCCTTTCAGAGGATTCTGGAATACGAGGAATTCCTATTAATTTATTATTATACTAGCTGATAACCTGGCGTCAGAGTATTTTTTTATAGGGGGGAAATGTCTGGACCAAATGTAATTTCTAATGTTGGATTTTCCCCCTTCCAGAGGGAGCCTCCTTGTGGAGTACTGTGAAGCCATTACATGGCAACTATACTGTACAGTAAAAGCCATTTTACAACAGTACAGTAGAAGCCACTTGAAGGCACAACAGGCTGTGTCATAACAAAACACAAACACCAAGGAGTGTTAGGGGTGTCTTGCCCGCACAATATTTGTTTCCAGAGAGTAAGTCATCTGTGTACCAAGTATGGTTGAAATTGCTTGAGGTGTTCCAGAATTATGCTGGAACACACACAGCCACTTTTGTATATATAGATTAAGTGTAATTAATTAGCATTCTGCTTTTTCCCACATTAAGATGCATCCAGAGGATTATGCTGTAGCTGCAAGTGTTAAGAATCATCCTCACCATCATCATTATAATCATTAACATCTTAAATCAGCCAAGATGCTATTAATGAGACTCCTACATAAGACCATTTCTATAGCTAATTTGAGAAAACAGATGGGAGGAAATATATGAACCAGAAAAATATGTTTACAGTAGCTGGACTGCTGGTTGACCTGGTAAAACCACTGTGAAAAAAAATATTTGATTAAAATAGCAGCTTTTAAATTATCATCATTGTATCAGCACTGTGACTGCCTGTGAAATATCTATATACTTTGCAGAGATTTGGTTTGTAAAGCCTATTGTTTGTATAAGGCAGAAGAATGAAAAATGTTTTTTCAGATAAGAACCATCATAAATTTTAAATGAGTTTCATAAAAGCTACAATCAAATGTAAACTAGCCCAAACAGGGAATTTCTAAAACACACAGTTCCTCCTTGATTTTCTCACTGCTTCATATCATGAAAATTGTCATGCAGATTAATAATTCATTGTTCTTGATTCAGCCCTGGAGGAACATCGACTGCAGTGGCACTTCCATCTGAGTGGCTTTTTAAAAGCTTACCCAAAAAAAAATGGAGCTATGAATTTGCTTGCTTTGTAAACCCACCAACACACATAGGTTATGGTTAATTTGGTTAATTGGCTTTTTTGCTGCAGATCAATGGAAAAGGAACCTAATGGAAATTTAAACCTAAGCAGTAACCGCTGAGGTGCATGGAGAATTTTGCCAACTCATTCAAACAAGGCATTTAGGAAGAAGCAAAATGCCTACAAATTATATGAGAGATAAGATTTCACTTTCAACCAGAGCCAGTTTTACTATTAAACTTTGCAGATGTTTGGAGGCAGACTGTGGTGTAAATTGCCAGATAGAGGTGTGTCTGCCTCAATTACCTCCAAAGTAGTTTGATGCCCTCAGAAGCAGAACGAGTCACTGACTCGTTTATAAAGATCCAATGACCACTTCCTCTATTAGATTTGAGACCAGAATCCATTTTGATAGAGTGAATGAAACAGAGAGGCGCAATCTTCTTTCCTCCTTTAGCAGCAAAAAATCACGGAATGACCTTCTTTCAAATTTGGCCTTCCTATGGTTGTTTCCCTCATCTATTTTTTCTCAGCTTTCCTTTTCCTGATTGTTATGCAGCATATTCCTTGTAATAGAAGCAGATGGTGGGATTTAGCATGTCCTAATTTACATAGCCTGTTACGTTTTTATTTGGGTTTACCTTACAATATCATATGAATATGACTACTTTGGGTTGTAAACTTCATTGGTATATAAATACATTCAGTTG